GTGTAGTCGAGGTCTTTGTCTTGTTCGTTATTGTCAATGACAATTTGTCATTGTCCGTGTCCTGGTCAGATAGCTCCTGCCCTTGGTAAAGTGTGTCAGTTGTTTTTAATAATTTTTGTCCCAAGCACGTTTTGTGGTAGAGTTCCGTCTTTGTTTATCAAATTCCAAGGCATTGGATTTATTCGCTAGTCCAACAAATCACAAGCGCGATCATTCTGTCGTCTAATGTTTACAAATCTCGAGTTTGGCTATTAGGCCCTTTTTTTAATGTGTTAGAATTATGTGATCAATGTTAGTTTACTCTGTCAGTCCAGTGTTTATTTTCGGTCTCGATTGGGACCGCTTTACGCACTTGCCGTTGACAGACTTATTGCCCCACGCCGCGCGCCCTTCGCAGGTTTTAAAGATATCCCAATAAACACTTTAACGATACCTATCACCATTAGCATTGTCCGTGTAAGAATTTTTAACACTTTTTAATACAATTTTGCAATGATAGTACTTAAAAACAAAACAATTGTTTAAAGAGTAAAATATGTTCTAAACATAATCATATTTTAAAGTTATTTTAACATTTTCAAGTAAAATAAATGTTATGTTTAATGAAATGAATACGGGCAATGTTAATGGAGACAAGCAACGGAAAATGCTTGCTGCAGCCCATGGGATCTGCCGTGTGACCCTAAATTTATTTATGATAAATTTTTGTCTTCTTGCTTGAATTGGTTTATTTGCTTACGCCTTTTACGCTGGTTGTTTACGTTTGTCTACTATGAGAAAGTTAGGTTGTTTATTTAACAGTTACGGAAATGTTCATATTATTTTTTAAATTTAATTTTTAAGACGAATAGATTTCTTAGATTTTTTTGCAACATTGTGAAATGCTTATATAAACATTTAACGATTATACGGTAAGACATGCAATTAGAAGAACTACTTAGCTTGATCATCAGGCTATAAACCTGATGCTTTGTCTTTCGCGGGGTAGCCTTCTCCTGTAGGTTTTTGCATAGAAAAAGGACATTTTTGGAACGCTCCGATCCAGGTGCGCCGGTTGACTTATCGTTGCTGCCCAGCCTCAATTAGGCACTTATTCACTTGCTCACTTTTACGGCGTTATCTCACAATTTTCGCACTTCTTGCACTTGATTGTTTATTTATGTATTTATTTATTATTCATTAACGATCACCGACATTTCCGGATACTTTGTTTCGTTTTTGGTATTTTACGTTTGTACCGTATACGCCACTTAGGAGGGATCTTGACGCATCCGACCTCTTCGAGCATCAAGACCATGCAGTGTTAAAATATGAAATATTAAATAAAAAATATTAATTTTTGCCTTATCTTCATTTTAATAAAAATAAATTACCTACATAGTTAAAATGACTAGTTTATGTAGTGAAAAATCAGCCACTAATAACTGTAGTGCGCATCAATTTGTATCCGGGATTTTACACAGTCAATTCTTATGTAAAATTGTCCCCTGAAAGAATAGCAGTTTTTGAGATATAGTCAATTCCATATTATATGGAAAATTGACTATATCTCAAAAACTGTTCTAAATTAATAACATGAAATTTTTGGATTCAGAGGACAATCTTACATATAAATTGACTGCAAAATGTCCGGGATACAAACTAGTGTTGGGATCACTCGAGTGAAAAATAACCTATTACCCGGTTATTGAAATAACCTAAATTATTCGGTTATGAGTTTTGGATCCAAGTGATGAATAACCGGTTATTTGCGCAGTGTATATTTTTAAAATAACCTGGTTGGCAAAAGTCTGAAACGCTGTGGTAAATAAAGTTATCGGTAATATACAGGTTATATTTTTAGGAATCTGCTCATTTGACAGTTACAGTTTGTTTAAAATTTGAATTTATAGAAATTTGTTAACAAAAATTAGCATTAAATTTAAATTAATACGTGGAAAAACAAAAAATTTAAACACTTGTATTAAAAATTTAATAATAATTTTTTGCCTACTATAATTATGTTGAAAAACTACCAAAAAAGTAGATTTCTAGAAAAATGGTAATACTGCTTGAACATTACAAGCCTTTTTTAAGGAATCGAGTAAACCGAAAAAGAAGCAACGCCCACCCCACGATGAGCATTCAAGTGATAATCCGGTTTTTGAAATCACTTGAATACTCGGTAATCGGTTATTGAAATAAATCGGTTATTCCCAACACTAATACAAACTGCTGTTGACGAGAGTTATTAGTGGCTGCATTTTCGATATAACAATTAGTAATTTTTGACTAATTCATTTTAAGAGAGTTTACAAGCAGGTCTATTTAAATCTTTTTTGCGCACGAAATATTTTTTTTTTATAAATTCGACAATATAAAACATTACCATAACGGAAATGTTTTATATTATTTTTCGCAGAATTATGAATAGAATTTAAACACTTTTTGAACATTGCAGATTTTGCTGTTAGGGTGGCTAACTCCGCTGGGGTAGATAGAGGTGTTGAAAAGTGCCGTTTAAACCCTCAAAAAAATTTTGTTTAATTTTATTTATCGATTTTTCTTTTAAAAATATTAGGTCATTGGCAGTTTTGATGGGATACTGTATATATAAAGATAAAATATTATAACTTATATTAGCATTAGCGAAAAGCACTTTGTATTTTGTTTTGGTGTTGGGGAATTTTTCTAATATTTGTTTACATATAATCAAAGTTGTCCTTTTTCAAGTATTATTATTATTTAGCATTAATGATTCAATAAATTTGTTTATGACAGTTTTGTAGGAAATTAAATGTAATACAAAGTTGTAATTTAACTTTTTAACCAATCAGTAATAATTAAGTTTCTAGATCTTAAAAAATATTAACAAAAAATCATAAAAATAAGTAAAATATAAGTTTGTAGATCTAAAAAAATATTAACAAAAAATCATAAAAATAAGTATACACTGTGTCGAAAGTTATCGGCTAACCAGTATATAACTTTTAATTATAATGATTTAGGACAAATTGCCCTGGACAATTTTGAAGGGAATCAAAAGTACGTATATAACTTTTTTCACTAATAATGGTCCAATAAATGTGTCTAAAACAAATTTGTTGGGAATTAAAAGAACCATACAATTTCAATTTAACTTCTTGCCTTTTAATAGTTTATTTTCTAGATCTTAATAAAGCCTTATTTAAACAAAATTACATTTGTTGGCGTTGTAAGTGAAATATCAAAATTTTATTTTGCATTGAACTAAACGTGTTGAATATTTTTGTAGCTTGGTGTAGTTTAGAACATGATCGTTTTTTTGCCTTGGACACAAAATTAAAAGGAAAACTAGAATTTAAGATTTTAAAATAAATAACTTTATTTGCAATTCAAAATAACCTCACATTCTCATTTTTTGGGATTCAGTATAAATAATAATTTGACTTGATTTAATAAAGCCTCTTTATTTTAGTATTCTACTTCTTACAAGTTTAAAATTTATAATGACTTATAAAATATTTCCGTTCCAAAGTTCTTTGAACTATTGATTTTTTACAATTAAATTACTTACATAGTCTATATCTATTCAACCAGTAGCGGCTCGTCAGCGGAGGCAAGGGAGGCTTAGCCTCCTCAAAAAATTTAAACATTACATCAATAATTTTATTGACTAAATAGTGATTAATTACTAAAATTGTAATCAAATTTTCAAATATAATTATTATTTTCGTTATAAAGAAAATATATAATCGGACTTAGTCACAGTCACAGAGGCGGATACGCGTCCGAAGATTCCGTTGCGTTTCAAAATCTATTTATTAGGTTTTCACGACCGACCGGACACGAGGCGGGCTGCAATAAGCAATAGTATGGTATACGGTGAAGGCTAGCCGCAGACCACAGACTATGCCGCATTGTACGACGGAATGATCGTGAGCGGTCACTGTCTAAGAGCTGCATCTTAAAACTTTGAGCAGACAGGCAGGAAAGAGTCATCGATTTTGGTATTACGTCAACAAAATAGAAATTAAAGGAGAAAACTTAAGTGATATCATAATAATATAATATCATTTACAATGCAATTTGGCAATATCCACCAATTATACTTATTTTAAACTCGCGGTGTTATTGAAAGCTTTAATTAAAAACTTTTTATTCAATAATAAAACTGACGTAGTGTATTTATGAGTATTCCTGTCATAATTAAATTTGTTTTCGTTATAATTACCTATAGCTTTTGTCTAGGCCTATAGCTTTAAAAATAACAGCTTTTAGCAACATCTGTACCAGGCTCATTAGAACACTATGATGAGGCTTACTTTATTAGGCAATTAGCAGCATCTATTACAGGTGTGTGTCGTTTTGTTAATTTACATTTTGTGGTGTTTTGTTTAAACATAAAAAATTGGAAGAAATTAAAACATTAGGGGACATTGTAGATTGGCTTGCCGTTAATTGTTTTCTTTGCCTTGTATTTTTAAGTTGTATAATTGTCTTTAACTGTTTTTTTAATGGCGAAAAAAATTACTCCACCTGCACTTTATTAGCCCTCTCATTTCAAATGACCACGAGCAGCCACTGTATTTAGCCATAAGTATACTTATATAAATGAAATTTCCGTCTGTACTATACTAACCATCAAAACCTTCTACAAAAGTACATTTTCGTTTATGTTGAAATGGTATGACAATATGAAATTTCCAACCTAATGAAATTGAAAAAAGTAGACAACATTTTTCTTTTACCATTGATTTATTACGATTAAATTACATAGCAGTAGGCTGTTTTCAGTAGTAACTGAATCCATGAGCGCCGGCAGTATATAATCCAGGGGGGACCAAAAAATATTATGTATTATGGAAATGTAAATGAGCTTTAAATGCACATTTGTTTATTATTTTAATTATACAGGAGGCAGCTGCCCCCTCTTGTCCCCTCCCGCCTATTTGCGCCCACGACTAGATCAAAATTCTGCATAACCTATTAACTATTAACTATTAACTGCCTTACTAAACATTTCCTTTCTTTTATTTCAGTTAAGATGCCTTCTTTACTGGAAGCCCTCGAGCAAAAGTATGGCGAAAGCTCGACCGAATCAGACTGTTCGGACGAGGAGGGCATTTCTGTGTCGATTTTCGTGCCTTGCAAGTCACCGAGAAGCATCGTGCCTGCCCTTTTGGTGCTCAACGATTGCGACATCGCCACAGCCGGCGAGAAAGAGATCCTCGAGGCCAAGTGTTCCGGCGTCGAGGAACTCGACTTGGCCAAGAACAAGTTGAGCCACTGGATAGAGGTAAAAACAATTTCTCAAATGTAATTGTTTAATTGCACTCAACTGTATAAAAATTGTATTTAATTTGCATTAGGCCCTAGCGCCAGTTTTTCTTGTAAACTGTTTAAGGGTCAGAAATAAAGCTCTTCTAAAAAAAAAAATTCATAAAAAATCCTCAAATCTAAAAACCATTTTTCTACTCCCACCTTTAAAACGCCCATTAGGTATCGTTTATATTTTCATGACACAAAAAGTATATACAAAAGTGCTCTTTTAGTTCCACCTCCGAAGGAATAATACACAATATGACAAACACTAATAAACAACTATACCAATGTGGGACTCGAACCCACGACCTATTGGCTTGTAGTCAGCAGCACTGACCACTAGTCCAACGTTGGCGGTAGACTAGCCACATTGACAAGTTGTTGTGCTTTATAGCGTTAAAATAAAGTGCCTTTCTTGTAAAATAATACTAAATGTGAAAATTATTTTATTATCTCAATACAAAAATATTAAATAGTTTCTTGACGCCAATATTTGAAAAGATTATATAAACCTTTGTATTGACCTTTTGATTTTGCCTTAGTAGTGCAGTTAACTAGAATTAACTGATAAAGCGTTAAAAATTTTGCGTACAGTGCCCATAAAACATTATCCTTTACTGTGAAAAACTGCTTCTATATCGATTGTTACTCTATTTTTAAGGAATAAATTTCGATTTACACAGAAAAATTTGAGATTTTAACGGTAGATTCCCAAGTTAGAAATTCTAACGGTAATTCCAATAGATGCAACTTTCACAGAGACACTGTCAGTGTCATTTCTTGTACCTTTAACATTTCCCGTGTAAGAATTTTTAATACTCTGTGGTAATATTTTGAAATATAATAATAAAAAATTAAGGGATACAATATTTTCTAAACATTATTATATTTTGAAGTTATTTTAATATTTTAAAGTATCAATAATTGTTATGTTTAATTAAAATAAAAACGGGCAATGTTAATAAATTACGTCAAACATGTTTATAGTGATGGTTACTTTATTTTTTTATAGATGTCGCTTTATACAAATATTTAATTAAAATCATTTTTAGATAATATTGTATTTGTCGTAGAAAAAGTATAGTAGGTATGCAACTCGTTTATAAATTTTTCTAGGCACTTATTTAATTTAATGACTAAAATGGTGTTTATTAAACTTTATACATATTATTCTATTAGTTTCGTGGTTCCCGCAAAAATATTATAGCGTTTTATAATTTAAGCTATTATTGTCAACGCTCACTACACAGAAAAAACGCTAGCATAGCATGAATGGGTGAGCCATTAAACCAATGGGATCTTGTAATCCGTATTCCTGAAATTCAGGACCTGAATAACAGTACCTATAATACCAATTGGTAGTTAGCACTTGGTTTATAATCGTTTACTGTTTTTAAACTAACATCAAAAGATACCGCTCCTAAATCTATTTTGTTGTTTGTTTAAAAACAGTAAACGATTATAAACCAAAAGCTATCAATTGATATTTATATTGATATTTATTTTCATTTTATGTTAGAATGTTATTGCATTAAATACTAATTTGATTTATTTAATAACGTTACTAAAGTATGTATACTATGTATACATTTAACGCAATAAATTCTTTGACATTTAGGTAAAATGTTTCCCTATTTTGGTTTAATAGTAATTAATTGAGCAAATAACAATTTAGATTGCTTCAATTTTAATGCATTCAATGACAGCGCTGTTCTTGGTACTATGTTAGATTTTTTATGTGTACCAAAGTATTCGATTATCTCCTAGGCTGTAGCTCAAACTTTGAGCTCAGCACACAAAGGCTCACTTTTCAGCCTTACGACATAATTATGACATACATGACTATTCCTGTTACAGTAGGCCAACTATGAATTGGTATTTTCAATAATTTCTTAAATTTGCACTCCCCTAATTTAATTACATTAAGTCCCACCTAATATTTATTATTTTTTAGGTCTTTGACATACTCCGCCAGATGCCCAACCTGAAATTTGTCAACCTAAGCTTTAACATCCTCTCGACCCCTCTGCCGACAATAGAAATGGACAGATCATTTAAATGGCAGCACCTCAAAAGCCTGGTCCTGAACTCCACCCACATAAACTGGGACAGCGTCAAGGAAATCCTGGATTTGTTGCCGGAACTGGAGGAACTACATTTAAGCTTAAACGATTTTAACACTGTCTGTTTGTGCGACGAGAATCAGAAGAAAAATGGCGAAGAACACAGCAAGGAGTGCACGAAGAATAGAGAAAATTTAAAGCACATGCATTCTGTTATAAAGATTCTACATTTTACGGGAAATCCCATAGAAGACTGGAGAGAGGTAAATAAATTTAAAAAAAATAAATTATGTTTTGAAATAAGAAACAATTTGGTAAGATATTTATAAATAACAGATTAATTTGTTACTTTTAAACTAAGACTAAATCCAAAGAAAGAAAACTGTACCCTAAAATCTAAAACTTTAGGAATTATAATAATTCTACAGTTTAACTGTCGTATTTATTTTAAAAAAATTAACAGTTATTTTCAACAAATAATATAATATAATAATGACTGTACAATTAATTCCTTTTATTTGCAAAAACAAATATTTTTAAAAACTTTTGTATTCAGAATGTTTTAATTGTTTTTTATAACTTTTTCCGGCCTGTATATCTGTTGGAAAATATTTTTGAGCAATGTTTTTTAATAAAAGTCTACTACATTTTCAATGACCTTTAAACTGGACACCCTGTTACACATTTTTTCTTTTAGGTAGTTAAATTGGGTTACGCATTTCCCAGCCTAGAATCGCTAGTACTTGCAGAATGCCCCATAAAGTCTCTAAACATAGATCCAGAAGAAGACAACCAAAACTGCAATAGATACGAAAGATCCGAAAGCGAATGTGAAGGTAGCAGTAAAGAATCACCTCACGATTCTTTTAGAAATTTAAAAGTTTTAAATTTAAACGCTACACAAATTGCAACCTGGGACGACATCGAAAGGTTGTCCAGGTTTCCTGCATTAAAAAGAGTCAGAGTTCAGGTACGTTTCTATAAATTATATAAATTTAAATACAACAATTTTAGTATTTCCGATTCCTTCATTATATTATGGCATATTGCGATTTAAAATATTAATCTTTCAACTATTTAGGGATGCCCTTTGTGGGAAGGTAAAGAATACACCGAACACGAAAGGAGACAACTACTAATCGCAAGACTGCCAAACTTAGAGGTCCTTAACGGTGGTAAAATTGATGCTCAAGAACGCGAAGACGCTGAAAGAGCTTTTATTAGATATTTTATGGACAAACCTGAAAGCGACAGGCCAGAGAGGTAAGACAGAAGTAGTATAGAAGTACTAGAAGGTTTCGCACAAAAACCTAATTGATTGTTACGTTTTTAGGTTTGCTGAGTTGGTTCAGATTCACGGAAAGTTGGATCCTCTAGTTAACATAGACTTAAAGCCGGAGAAAAAGGTGAAGGTGACGTTTACCTGCGGCCAGAAGAGTGAGGTCAAAACAGTGGACGTCTACAGAACTGTAACCGACTTGAAATTCAAATTGGAAATTTTTGCGGGCTTTTCCGCTTCCAAGATGAGGCTATTTTATGTCGACCAAGAATTAAAAGATATGGTGAGAAATGTCTTCTTAATACAACATTTTACACCTAAAATTACTACTTAAGTAATATTCCTTATGGACTATAAAAAAGTTTTACTGGGTCATAGCCTATGTAGGGTCCGCGCTTCGAGCAGAGGGTTAAAAACCAAAATTAAAAACATATTTTTGCTGCTTGGTTCAAAAAACGTGTAAACCTGTAATAATTTTGTTACATTTTTTATTTGTTTTAGGGTCCAGAGGAAATGATATACCCAAAAAAGCAGCTATACAGTTACAACATAAGATCCGGCGACGAAATAATAATAGACTGTAAACGAAAATAACTGATAGAAATTAAGTATTAAAAACTAACGCAACATAAATAAACCTTGTGTATAATACTTTTTTATTTTTTATTCTTGTAAGTAGCTACAATTCTTAATGAATGTCTCCCAAACAGGTACTCTGTTATAAGGCAGCCATTTTAATATGTTCAAGCATCACATTGTTGGTGCTTTGTTAATTTATTTAATTTAAACACTTGGGTATACTTTTACTATACTTTACAGAATGTCCGAAAACTAATCTGACAAACAAACAGAGATAATTTTTAGATCATTTTAATAAATGCACAAGATGTGACTCTTGTCCAACTGCGATGGTCAACAAACGATCAAATAATAAACCAATGACATTTGTTATTAGCAAATATTGGAACAGTATTTAAAAAAATATTAATGATACCTATATGGCAGAATAAATTGTTGAAGCTTTTTCTCTCTTATATTGAAATCTATTAATTTTTTGGGAGTAAGCTTAACATTTAAAGTTGTTTAAAACTTAAGTGCATTGAGTATTTTTTTTTAAACTTTTTGCACAGAAAAATTTTTTGAATTTCATCTAACCCTTAAATATTGATTTATTTATATACGATGCAACGATCGTAATTTAAATTAGTGAAATCATACAGGTTACGAATACGTATTATTCACGTAACTTTTACGTATTTATTTAACTAGTTATCTGTCAACCAATATGGCACGTGATAATCACGTAACTCGTCTCAAATTGTTTGCTGGGGACAACCATAGACCACTGCGACAACTTGTATAACTCACTATTGTGCATAAGCAAACTGGTCCGCTATTTGCCAAGTTTGGACCAATCTGCATTACAAACGAGGTTGGCCAAAAATAACTATATTAAAGTCTTTATTTTAATGCATTTTTTGAGCTATCGCGTTTGGAAATAAACTGCGCACCACTCAGTGTCGCGACCAAAAAGTTCGTCCTTTTTCAAAACGGCATAACTTTTTTGTTTCTTAAACGATTTTATTTTGGTTTGTGATGTCTGCTAACCCCATCCTCTGGCAATTCATGCTATAGATATTAAGCCCACGGTTCTTCAAGTAAATTTCTCACAGGGTGATATGTAAAACGGTGAAAAATTTCAATAACTTCATCCAAGCCCCGTTTAAAAAAATAAATATTTTATATATTTTGAAATAATGAAGAAGTATGTCTTTCCTTGAAAAGGTTTTCAAATTTTTCGAATTGGAATCTTAGCAACGAAAATCTGATTTTTTTTTACAAAAGAGTACATTTAAGGCTTTTGGTAGGCAATACACTCAGTCTTTTTAAGAACAAGAAAATAAGATGGTGAAAGATTGTTCCTTGAATAATTCTGAACAAGCGACAAGCAACAAACTTCCATCTTTTCAAAGGGGCCTAAGTAAAGACCACTTTTTCAAAATGACATTTTGGTAAAAATTTGCGAAAACTAAACCTGAACCAATATTTACGTTCGTGACATGTTTTCTTTATAATTTTTACCTCCTGATTGTGATTCAGTTGTCAAATTTAAGTTTCAGATAAAACCAAAATCACCAAGAATCAAAATTCGAAAACAACTCCCGGCTGTTAAATGTCTTAATAAAATCCGAAAAAAAATCATATCGTCGTTGCTAAGATTCCAACTCGAAAAACTTGAAAAACGTTTCAAGGTAACACATAATACTTCATTATTTCAAAATAAAAACGAGAAAAAAATTATTTTTTTACAAACGGGGCTTGGATGAACTTATTGAAATTTTTCATCGTTTAAATATGTCACTTTTTGGTCAAAAGTGACGAGAATTTGTAAGTCAAATTAAACGCCAATAAATGTAAAATATCATACACCAAACTTGGTTGGAAAAAAGTTGACTAACTTCTTCCCCAAACCTTGGTTTTCTGGGGTTAAGTAGTCAGAATTTGCTGGATTAGTTTTCGGACACCCTGTATATTTGATAACAACATTTTAAAATATTGATAATGTTATAATTATACCTAAGTACCTAAGTGTATTAATTTTGTTAGGTTTATCATAATAATGTGATAATTTATCCTGCTAGACACAAATAGTCAACAAAACTGCCATTGTAGTTTTTACTGGTTTAAATAGATTTTGGTAAAATAATCTTTATAAGTCCGCTGAGACGTTCTAGTTGAAAAAGCACAGTTTTTAGAAATTGTTATAAATATAATACCTACATACTAAAGTATTCAATATAAAATATTAGCAATAGGTTTACATGTTATTCTTATTTTACCAAAATTCTGTTGATTTAATTTTGGTGAACGGTTTATTAATTAATTTAGTGGGATGTACTACTTATTGTGATATAAGATCAGCATTAAATTTTATTAATGCTGCCGTCTATTTGTAGAATATAAGAATACTAATATACATATAATATACAGCTGTAAAATAACATTAAATATTAATTATTTTTAAAATCATATCCTCGTCGTTTTATTTCATGTGTACCTTGTATTATAATGGTGGTAAAAAAAGTAATATTATATTAATAAAAAAGACAAAATTTATTTAAAAGAATTTATTGTAATAAATAAAGATCTATAATAAATTAAGTTTACCGGGAATGAATACATTGCATTCTAACAAAAATATTGATTAACAATATCACAATTCTTAAAGAACCAAAAAAACTGTAAAGAAAATTTTAAATGTAATCGTTTTTGATTTTTATAAACCCCACCAATTATTTTGCACACATTTAAAACGCAGTCACAGATTTAATCTGCTTGTAATACAAAAATAAATAATAATTAAAATAAATTTGAAGAGAGGATTTTAAATTTTTATTAAGAATGTTTATTAAACTAAAAACCGCACTCTTAAAGTTCTGTATGTGGATCATTATCCTCTGTTTCCGAAGGTTCAATCGTTTCACTGTCAACTGGTGCAGGTTCTTCAATTGATTCCTCGGTTTTGGTCTTTTCCTCTTTAATAGGTTTTTCATCTTTATCAGTCTTTTCTTTTTTGTCTTCGGCTGGCTTCTCAACCTTCTTGGGTCTCCAATACTTTATTTTGTTTACCAAGTATTTGACTTCTCTATCTAGGGAACCCATTTTGTCTGTGATTGATTTGACAGTCAACTTGATGGGTTCGTTCTTTTTAAGTTTGGCTTGTTCTTTCACTTGTTTATCTCTCCATTCTGTGGTTTCTTTAATTAATTTTTCTAACGCTTCAACTTCGACATCGGTAAAAACATCTTTCTCGAGGTTTGTGGTTTTGGTCAAATTTTTGGCGCTGAGTAGGAAATGCGTTGAATGATTTAACAAAGAATGTAGAGCGTTTAGGGCTTCAGGGCGTTCTCTGTGCTCCCAAACTTTGGAGAAAATGTCGTTGGTAAGCTCCTTTAACTCCTTCAGTTTATTTTCGTATGTATCGGCATCTGCTTCGGAACCATCTTCGTACAGCCATTCGGAAATCTCGCTGCACGCAGCCTTGATTTTTTCTACTTCAGCTGCAGTGCCTGCTTTGGAATATTCGTCTTCGTCCAATTTAACTTGGACGTCGATAACGTAGCTTTCTAGATTGTTTAAAGCGGATGCCCTGCGGTTAATATCGTGCTCGATTTTGTTTATTGCGGATATTTTTTCAGACGACTTAACCAATTGTTTTTCGCTTAATGGGTTTATGGAGAGCAATACCTCGGATGTTTTAATTGGGTCTTTGATTGTTACGATTTTAGGTTTAACTTCTTTAGGGGCGGTTTTATCAGTGGCGTTTTTTGTTTCTGTTTCGTTTACTTTCGGCTGTTTTTCTTCGGTTTTTGGTTTTTCAGTTGCTTCTTCAGGTTTTTGTTCCGTTTCCTCTGGGGTTTCTTTTGTTGGTTCTTCATCTTCAGGTTTCTTATCTTCGCCTCCAAAGAGTTTACTGATGGTGCTGCCCAATTTGGAGAAGGTACCTTCATCTTCGTCTTCGGTGACGGTTTTTTCGACTACATATTCAACGTTGATCAAGTTAAGAATACCGGAATCGTCCAACAAAAAGTGAGCTTTAATGCCTTTAGGATCAATATTATCCCCCACATTCTTCTTTAGCACATCTTCAACTCCACTTAAATGATATTCGGCCAAATTTGTGGTACCAACATTCAAAACTTCATTATCTGGCAAATATTCCAACTCAGCATAGTTAACATTAAAATTAAAATCAGAAATATGCTTGTTGAAAGTAATAATTTTTTTTTGGGGGTAGGGATTCATCAAACCAAACAAAGTACGCTTTACGTGTTTAGTGGCGCCATCTACTTCACGGTCGAAAGTTACATGAATAGGGAAAACAACAGCATCTTTAGTGATGAATTTTTTAACCTGAAAACCGGTGCTCAAATCGGCTGCCTTGTACACAGCACCCATAGCTGCAGCTTCATCAGTGTTTAGATTCTTAGCCAATTCTTGTTTAACATGTTTTTGCAGGATTTCCTGAATTTTTGGTACTCTAGTACCAGCACCAACAAGCACCACCTGACTTACCACATCCATAGATAAATGAGCTGTTTTAAGAGCCTGTTCGACAGGGTTTGTAACCCTATCAAATAAATCTGGAATTAAAGCTTCCAATTCTTCACGCTTAACCGCCTGTTTAAAATCGATTTCGTCAATTAAACCTTCGATTTGGGCGTGATATTCCACATTGGCACTTAGGATGTTCTTCAATTTACCAGCTTCTTTAAATAACTTAGAATAAGCTCTAGGATTCTTAGTTACATCATTTTTGGTCTTTTTCATTTCATTAAACTTTTTCGCCAAGTAGTCTCTTAGTCTTAATTGTATTTCAAGCCCTCCTAATGTTCTATCATAACCTACTCCCAGTATAGTCAATTGTGGGTGAGTTTCAGCATAACCACGATCCTTGACCTTAACATTCTGATAACTTACCAAAGTAGCCGTTGTGGATGAAGCCCCCATATCATAAAACAAAACATATTGTGCTGTTTCATTGAAAGTCTTGGTTCTAAATATACCATAATTAAGTGCTACAGCAGTGTAATCATTAATTAATTGTAAAATTTTAAGGTCAGCTAACTCAGCAGCTTGCAACAAGGCTTTTCTTTCAACTTGGTTGAAGTACCCTGGTACAGTTAAAACACATTCTTTAATTTTTTGTTGGGCCCCATTTTCGGCAAATTCCTTAGCTTTGACCAACATTTGTGCAACTAATTCTTCAGGACTATAGAAAGTATTTTTGTCATGTTTAAACAAAATAGTACCTCTATCCTTATCTTCTACAATATCAAAGTACGGGAACCTTTTTTGGAACAATTTAACTATAGGATGGCTAATATTCTTCCCTAATAAATCCATTAAATATTGGTACGAATTCTTAGGAAATCTAATGCCTATTGTTTGAGCATCCTCCCCAAATAACCTAATATTATCCCGGAAACTAAGCACAGCAGGACTTTTTCTCTTTGATTCCTTATTTAAAGCTATTTCCATTGGCACTCCAGGTGATACAATTCCAACTTTCATCCATTCCGAACCCAAATCCACTGACATAACAGCTAAGCCATGGGTTTTTATCACCAAACAACTCCATATTGCCAATATCACTATTGCTATCTTCATTCTTCTAGCTAAAACAATAATTTTATTTTACAATGTGTTTCAAAATTGGAGATAGAATATTGAAATTCTAACAATTTTTAACATCTCTTCTATACTCCTTTTTTGGTTTAGAATTTATATGGTTACAATATATTATGGAGATGGATACAATATGTTTAAAATACTGTTAAGCAAGTTTATATTCAGGAAAAACAATTTGGTAGTAAACATAAAGGTTAGGATTTCCTTTGAAATATTTTATGAAAGAATAAATGAAAGAGTTACTTACGTGAATAATTTTAAATGCATATAGTAATGATGAAATAACACAAAACGTAATTAATTTAATACTTTTAATGGTTAACATCCACGTCAGTAAAGAGCTTTACTGTCAAACAGCTGGAAAGAAAATTCTGCGTGTTCGCCGGCTAAAACAGCAACGTCGAAAACTTCCCCATCTGTCAAAATTTGCACAACAAATTTTCCCTAATTTAATAATTTCTTATGAATCTATGGTTAAATAATGTCTATATTTATAAGATGTTAAGTGATAACTTAGTAAAGTAATGCATTTTACGTAATAAATATTGAAATATATGTTTTTAATTTACAGTTAATTATAAGACTTGGCAACGTGCCTGTTATCACTTTGTTGGCGCAATTTCATTGGCCAGTTTAATAAACCTGACACATTTGTACATAGATGCCGCGGCATGTCGCTGTGTTAGTTTTCTACTTTTAAGATTTATTATTTGAATCGCAATAGATGTAGGACACTTTTTAATTATCGTTTAGTTTAGTGAATTATTACTGGATGGAGAAAAAGTAAAAAGTATTTAGATTATACAGGATGTTAAGTAAATACAGGATGTTAAGGGTAATTCCATTTATTAGCCACCAATAAGTGCACCTCATATCCTCTAATTTTATTTCTTTTTTAACTGTAAATAGACATGGACCCAAGAAGTGAAAAAAACTCCCCTTTTCTTTTCTCCCCCTATCACCTATTTATACAGGGCTACGCAAAAGTTACTATGCAGACCTAACTTTAAAAAATTGTACTTTTTTTGCTAATAAAGCTATCTACATTAAACAAACTGTTAATTGTTAAGAAAATATTTCTCTTTTAAACCATATAGGACACATTTAGTTATTGATGCCCTAAATGGTCTTTGGAAATTTTTTTAAAAATGCAATTTTTTGGCAAAATTGTCTAATTTTATAAATTCATATATTCTTAGAACAACTTGCCAGCAAAATTTTTTTAATGTAGTTTGTTACCATAGATCTTACTCTATATAAAAGCAATGAAAACATTTTCAAATAATATTGGCTACGAGTTCAAAAAAATATAATAAAAATCCATGTTTTCGAAAAATAACTATTTTCAGCCATTTCATGGTTTAAAAAGGCTATGTTTGAGTGAGTCGATTTAAACCAATTTATGCTTATCATCACATGCACTTATTAGCCTCCAATAACCATTAATAAAATTATTGTGTATTTTGCTTTTAACTGGGCTGTGGCTGTATGTACAGCCCAGCTATAAGCAAAATACACAATATGCCCACCTGACTTTCAGCCATTTCATGGTTTAAAAAGGCTAGGTTTGAGTGAGTCGATTTAAACCAATTTATGCTTATCATCACACGCACTTATTGGTCTCCAATAATCATGAATAAAATTATTATGTATTTTTCTTTTAGCTGGGCTGTGGATGTATATGTCCACCTGTGACTATATCCATATTATTAACCATATATTTCGAAAAAGCGTATTGCATCTTTAAAATAACTTGACAGCCTTGCATTGACTTCTAATTCATTCTAAATAAAAATATAAAATATAAAAACCACATACAGTGGCGTCGAAAATTAACTACCCATTTATTTATTTTTTAAATTAAGAAAACATAATCAAATGTACAAAACATTAATTTAATGACTAAAAGACATACTTTCCATAAACTTTATATATAAACAAAATGAAACAGGTATTAAATCCTAAATTTGAATTAAACCTAACTGCATATAATTAAACTGAAGAAATCATATTCTTAACTTTTACAATCACCTAAAAAACCTATTTACTATTTTTTACCTCTAAAAAGTTATATGAATCGGAAAATTTTCTTATGTGTATAATGTCTATCAAGAGGAATAAATTAACGACTTATGGCCTTTAAATGGATCGCAGCAGACTTCACCAAAAATTTTGGTAAAATTAAATAGATACTTTAATTTGTGATACCTACGTACAAATATTGGTTACAGTTGCATCCACTCGCTATTCTATTATTTGCTTTCATCCTTAGTACAAGATTCAATCTTGGAAAATCGCGAAAAATATTTTTATCCGAAATCTGCCGAAAGTAGTCAACAATCGGCAGTAAAGTAAAAGATATCGGCAGTAAAGTAGAACTTTATTTCTTTTACTTTTCTGCCGATTGTTGACTACTTTCGGCAGATTTCGGATAAAAATATTTTTTAAAGTATCTATTTAATTTTACCAACATTTTTGGTGAAGTCTGCTGCGATCCATTTAAAGGCCATAAGTCGTTAATTTATTCCTCTTGATAGACATTATACACATAAGAAAATTTTCCGATTCATATAACTTTTTAGAGGTAAAAAATAGTAAATAGGTTTTTTAGGTGATTGTAAAAGTTAAGAATATGATTTCTTCAGTTTAATTATATGCAGTTAGGTTTAATTCAAATTTAGGATTTAATACCTGTTTCATTTTGTTTAAATATAAAGTTTATGGAAAGTATGTCTTTTAGTCATTAAATTAATTTTTTGTACATTTGATTATGTTTTCTTAATTTAAAAAATAAATAATTGGGTAGTTAATTTTCGACGCCACTGTATGTGGTTTTTATATTTTATATTTTTATTTAGAATGAATTAGAAGTCAATTCAAGGCTGTCAAGTTATTTTAAAGATGCAATACGCTTTTTCGAAATATATGGTTAATAATATGGATATAGTCACAGGTGGACATATACATCCACAGCCCAGCTAAAAGAAAAATACATAATAATTTTATTCATGATTATTGGAGACCAATAAGTGCGTGTGATGATAAGCATAAATTGGTTTAAATCGACTCACTCAAACCTAGCCTTTTTAAACCATGAAATGGCTGAAAGTCAGGTGGGCATATTGTGTATTTTGCTTATAGCTGGGCTGTACATACAGCCACAGCCCAGTTAAAAGCAAAATACACAATAATTTTATTAATGGTTATTTGAGGCTAATAAGTGCATGTGATGATAAGCATAAATTGGTTTAAATCGACTCACTCAAACATAGCCTTTTTAAACCATGAAATGGCTGAAAATAGTTATTTTTCGAAAACATGGATTTTTATTATATTTTTTTGAACTCGTAGCCAATATTATTTGAAAATGTTTTCATTGCTTTTATATAGAGTAAGATCTATGGTAACAAACTACATTAAAAAAATTTTGCTGGCAAGTTGTTCTAAGAATATATGAATTTATAAAATTAGACAATTTTGCCAAAAAATTGCATTTTTAAAAAAATTTCCAAAGACCATTTAGGGCATCAATAACTAAATGTGTCCTATATGGTTTAAAAGAGAAATATTTTCTTAACAATTAACAGTTTGTTTAATGTCGATAGCTTTATTAGCAAAAAAAGTACAATTTTTTTAAGTTAGGTCTGCATAGTAACTTTTGCGTAGCCCTGTATAAATAGGTGATAGGGGGAGAAAAGAAAAGGGGAGTTTTTTTCACTTCTTGGGTCCATGTCTATTTACAGTTAAAAAAGAAATAAAATTAGAGGATATGAGGTGCACCCATTGGTGGCTAATAAATGGAATTACCCTTAAGTAAATAAGTAGGTAGTAAGTACTGTACAGTTTAACGTAACTTGTGTAATTATAAGCATACCAAACTGGTATCACAAGAATAAAGAGTTTTATCTTCTAACATAATATAACATCAATATTATTAGTATTAGTTTACCCATAGGTACAATAATGACTTAATTTTCCTAGTACAATAATGAGTTACATAAGCGTAGACAATACATTGATACAAAAATCATTTTTTTTACTCCCACCTTTAAAACGCCCTTTATCGTACATGTTTACATGACACTAAGTGACCTTTTAAATACACATTGAAAAGTTGTGGCTTTATGGCGTTTTAGTCACGGGCTGAAGTTAGCAACATTTTTTTAGTCACGGGCTGAAGTTAGTTGACAGTTGTCAAATGTCATACAATCGTTAAAATAAAGTGCCCTTCTTGTAAAATAATACTAAATGTGAAAATTATTTTATTATCGCAATACAAAAATACAAAAGCATTAAATAGTTTCTCAACGCCAATATTTGAAAAGTTTATATGAACATTGCACTGACTTTTTAATTTCGCCGAAAGTAAACTGGATAACTTAAATTCGAGCTCGGACTCCACCGTGAAGAGCTCATAAAACATTTTCTTTACTTTCACTAAGAAAAACTCTTGTTAATCGATTTTCAACGAAAATATTTTGATTTATAACCTTTATAACACTAAAAAATTTGACATTTGACGGTACCTAACAAAGATTCCCCTATTGTTTCATAGATGGCGCTCTATACAAATTTTTGATTTAAATCATTTTAAGATAATAAAAAGTATTTGTCGTAGAAAAAGTATAGTATGCACCTCGTTTATAAACTTTTCTATACACTCATTAATTTAAGAACTCGCTCGCAAGCGCGCTCGAGCCTAAATTAAATTCGTGTATAAAATGGCGTTTATCAAACTTGATACATAATATACTATTTTCTACTCCCACCTTTAAAACACCCTTTATCATACATGTTTCCATGACACTAAGTGACCTTTTAAATACACATTGACAAGTTGTGGCTTTATGGCGCTTTAGTCACAGGCTGAAGTTAGTTTTAAGTTAGTTGCAACTAACTTAAAACTAACTTCAGCCCGTGACTAAAGCGTCATGACAGTTGTCAAATGTCATACAATCGTTAAAATAAATTGCCTTTCTTGTAAAATAATACTAAATGTAAAAAACTATTATTTATTATCTCAATACAAAAATACAAAAGTATTAAATAGTTTCTCAACGCCAATATTTGAAAAGTTTGTATGAACATTGTACTGACCTTTTAATTTCGCCGGCAGTAAACGATACCTTAAATTCGCGAATTTATGTTTTATGTTTTATGAGCACTTTACAGTGGAGTCCGTGCCCGCGGGCACGGACTCCACTGTAAAGTGCTCATAAAACATTTTCTTTACTTTCACTGTGAAAAACTGTCAATTTTTAAGAAATACATTTCGATTTATAACCTTTATAATTGTATTTATAAAATGTAAAAATTTGACATTTGACGGTGACACACAGATTCCCCTATTGTTTTATAGATGGCGCTCTATAGAGATTTTTGATTTAAATCAT